TGGTGAGAGGAAGTCTCTGGTCAGCCCAGGAGCGTAAGGAGGCAGGGGTGACTAGCGCTGTGTTTCGTCTTCCCTGAAAACCGTGAAGTCAGATTTAGAGCCTCAAGCGGCCTCGGCTGCCCCGCCGCCACCCGGGCAGGGCACCGTTTTTTCCAAGAGTTCTTCAGTCGGGCCTGAGAAGTACCCGGAGAGAAAGGTGCTTTACCCTCCTGCTGTGAGGAAATGCACTTGGACGGTCTTGTTAGGGACACTTACAACGAAAAAAAAAAAAGGTTCAGATACATGAAATGAAACGGTTGCAGAGGTCTGGCAAGTTACAGCTGTGTCAGTGAGATGGGTGTTACTGCTCCTTTGATACTGGGGGCGTCCCCCTGTGCTGTCATGTGGAGTGCTGCAGGCAGAGAGGAAAGGAAAGCTGAGTTCTGGTCATGTGAAGTTTCATCGAGGTAAATGCATTTCAGCTTTCATAGTTTTCCATCTTGAGTTGAATTTATTTGTAAAACTTTTTTATTAAAGTGTTCCTGTGACTCTAGCATAACTTTTAGGGAAGGTGAAACTTCCTGTTATCTTCTGCAGGCCCATCAACATGGGGAAGCTGTAGAGTTGTTGGAAACGGCTAGGGAAAATGTTTAAGGATTTGTGTTTGCGCAGTATGAAGAATTTTCTATCCAGCATTTGTCTTGTATAGCATGCACTGTGCATGTCATTTACTTGTATTGGAGCTCCACTTCTCAGAAAGTAACGTGGCAGTCCAATACACAGACCTAAGCTGTTTTATGTTGTCACTGTTTTATGCATGTCACTGTGATGTATATTATGTCAGTTTTCTTACACAAGTTGAATGTTGTGCAGGCTCATCATACTTGTATACTGAGTAAAGGGTATTAGAGGTCTGACTAACTAACATTTGTAAAGCACACCACTTCATTATGTGGAAGGTATGCGTATACGCTTCTTGAATGAAGCCTACAGTGAAATCTCAGGTGTAGAAGTCAGGTTGTCCCTTGAAGTCTTATTTGGAAACAAAAGAAAATGAGATAATAATGCGTGCTGCTCTAATTTTGTTTTTTCTATGAAAACTTCTTTTTTAGGTAATGTAGGCATTTCAGCTGTACACAAGAGAGGAAGCAGGCATGTCAGCTCTTTGTCCACCACCGTCTCCTGCAGTTGCTAAAACAGAGATCTCTTTGAATGGCGAGTCACCTTTATTAGCTGCCACTTTTGCTTACTGGGACAATATTCTTGGCCCTCGAGTGCGGCACATCTGGGCCCCAAAGACAGAACAGGTACTTCTCAGTGATGGTGAAATAACTTTTCTTGCTAACCACACCCTGAATGGAGAAATACTTCGGAATGCAGAAAGCGGTGCAATAGATGTGAAGTTCTTCGTCTTGGCGGAAAAAAGGGTAATCATTGTGTCATTAATCTTCGATGGAAACTGGAATGGAGACAGAAGCACATATGGACTATCAATTATACTTCCACAAAGTGAACTTGGTTTCTACCTGCCGCTTCACAGAGTGTGCGTGGATAGGTTAACACATATTATAAGGAAAGGAAGAATATGGATGCATAAGGTAGGTTTATTGTTCATTACTAAAAACAGTTGTCCAAGTTGTCTTGAGCAAAAGCAAGAATTAAGATTGTGACATCTGTCATATAGCAGTCCAGACGCAAAAACTCAGAGGAGGCTGACCTCTCTACAAGTATATAATTTTGAAGGTTAAAAGTTACCAGTATGTCAACAAATTCAAGGCTAGGGTTTTTAGCCACATGATTTAGCCTGGTAATATTGTAATACAGGTAATAAAACCTGTACCAGGCTATCTAGGTGAAATAGGTATCCTGTACAGTTTTTGTTCGCTCTGAATTTGATATAAATTGTTGCTTTTAAGTGTGTTAGTGTATTTAAACTAGGTACAATTGTAAATTTACTGTGTTTCAAATAATTTGTTTTCACTGTTGAGGTCCAGAAAAGGGAACTGATGCAATTAACATTGGCATTGTTTTTACAGTTTTGTTTTTCAAAATTTGGAAGGTGTTAAGTTGTGTAAAACTAATCGATGAACCACGAAAATACATCTACTTTAGTCCAACTATTTCTACGTTTGTAATTTGAAAAGGAAAACATGCTAAATTTTTCTGAAGAATTACAGCTCTTACCTTTGAGTACATTATGGATATTTCCTTATTAAGTGAAAATTGTTATGTATTTTTGTTTAAAATAAATAACATTCTAATAATAAAAATTTAAAACTGTCGTCTTCATGGAGTACAAGTTCTCTTAGAGCAGTAGATTGCACGTCAGCTGTAATGTGTATGGTGATGCATCTTTGTCTGATAAAGTTTTTGTTCCTCTTCTGTTTTGAGACCTCTAGTCAAGATACTTTAAACTTCCTTTTTGGGTGCTCTTATCTGAACTAATTAAGATTCCACAAATAATAAGCTCATGTTAATTTTTGTGGTGGTGTTTCCTTTTTACTACACAAACAAACTCCATTGATTTTTGCTGTACTGCCTGATGATGGCTGGCAGTGGTTTCTATTACATTGGCTCTTGATACTTCTGGGGTTTATTTTTCAGAGGAAGGATAGGACATAAAGTTAATTTTCAATATAGTAGAAACAAATATTTCATTCCTGATCTAGTCATCTAAAAGTCCGCTGGATGTTAGTGCTTTTGACGTAAGCGAATGCTATTTCATGTTCTTGATTACATTGCTTCTCTGTCATTTAGTGTCCTCTGTACTGACTTTTAATGTGAGTGGTCAAATAAGAGTTGTCCATCATTCTTAACTATAGTAATCTTCTCTCTTTTTGGACATCAATCCATATCAGTATGTTTCCACAGTAGAAGTAGCATTCAAGTGGCATGAAGAATGACAAAAAATGTTTTCTACTAGTTTCCTCAGAAATTAGTCATTAAGTTCTTCATACTTTTTCAGATATTCTTGAAGCAGATAGGTCAACTGGGTTAGCTGAGACAGTGAGACATTCTGAAATAGACATGTATTGTCTTTCTTTTCTTTTTTCTTTTTTTTTTGTCTTTTTTTGAGGAAGATCAAAGATCCCTGCATATATCTGCAGTTCTGCAGCCTTACCTAGAAGAGAGAAAACTGCTTTGAAAATGTAGATTAAAATTTAGGCGTGAGTTGTAGAATGATAATATTGAATTAAAACAGGCTCATTTTGTACTTTGTGTTTTGAGGTGGTTTAGCAACTATGGCTACAACAGAACAAAAAATGTCAATGTCATATCTGAAAGGAACAATGTTCTGGAATTTCTAATGGTTGTGGTTATTGGCTCTCATGAGTTCTGTGTAGAGCTAGACAACAGTTACAGCTAGAATTTAGAAGATGAGAAAATTTCTGAATTCAAGGACTAGGAGAAGCATGGAACAGTGTTCAGCCTGGCAAAGACAGACAAGCAACTCCAAGCAAGTTGTCTATATGGGATTAGAAACCCCTTTTATCTACTTCAATTTTATGTTCCAGATGTTTGTCTAATAATTTTGAGCAGTTATATTTCTAAAAAGAAGTGGTTTACACCATTTGTTCAGCCTTATCTTCATGAAGACTGACTTCTTTTAAAGCAAAGGATCTTCATTGTCAAGGATGTCTTACTTCACTGACACTGAACTAAAGGATGGAGGTGCCCCGAAGGAATCTGCCTCATTCCAGTATTGTTTTTCACAGATGCGTCTTTTAGATGGTTAGACAAGTTTTGTTACTGTAGCTTGTTCCCTATTCATCTGCTCAAAAAAAGTTATGTAAACTCTTTTCCCACTTGATCAACTTTCAGTAGTTCAGTCACAGGAAGCTAATGAGTAACAAATAAAAATGCAATAACCTGTCAGCATCTAGCAAAAGATATCATTAGTTCTCGCAGCATCTTCCATTTTTTGCGTATTGTATTGATTGTTCGAGTGATTAATGCCAAATTCTCTTTGTGAATAATAACTTGATTCTGTTATAAGTTGCATTTTGAATGCAGTTTGCTACTCAGCTGCGATGAGTCTGTTTTGAGAACTTTGTCCAGTCTCGTGCACATTGTGTTTTGTGTATTTTGACGTTTTGTGTCTCCTGTACTTGGTTATAAAACAATGTTTTGAATACTTGTCAATGTCTCAAGATGTGGGGAAAAAGAAGTCCCATTTTTCCTACCCTCCCCAAACAAATAATTTTTCTCATTCTGGAGATCTGATTTTTCTCTTGCTTCATCAGGAGCCATCAGTCTTGTACCTTACCCATTTGAAAATAAAAATCCATACGTAAAGTGAAATTCTGTACCATAATCTGATCATTTGGCATTTTCTTGATCTGTAATGAAGAAACTCAATGTTTTGTCATTGTCATCACACCCTCCCTTTCCTGCTACTCCTGCCCAAGCATGTGAGAGATTTGGTGGGGGGCAGAGCAGGGAGCATTGATCTGTTTAAAGTGACATCACTTCCTGCTAATGTCAACTCTGTAAAAGAAAAAAAACTTGAACATCGAAATTTGAATCTAAGAAGCATGACTCCACAGGGAAGAAACTGTACCATTTGACTGTTGTGTGCATACATATATAAACAAATACCAGAGCGTTTATATTTAACTGCTTCTCTTGCTCAGGAGAGGCAAGGACATTTCCAGAAGATTGTCTTGGAAGGCACGGAGAGAATGGAGGACCAGGTAAGGGCCGTCTGGTTGATGTGTATGGCACATGATCACAAAACTATTTGACTGCATCTGGTGACTGTAGAAGTTGGTGCTGCTTCTTATTTTTGGGATCCAGGAAGATACTTTGGACTGGCTGATGACCTGCCATGCACAGGAGGCAAAGTTGCTGAAGATGGGATGATGGAAGCTGTGAACAAGTTGAAGGAAAATATATTTCATCACTTTATGGGTAAAGTGGAAATCTATGAAGAATATTACCTTTCAGAAAAGGAAAGTCATTTACTTGAACTGAAAACTCTGTAAAGGTAGTAGCTTCTATAGATTCATGCTCACCTCCTATCAAGGGTGGTTTTTCACTAGGTCATGACCTTTTCGACTTAGGGAGATGTACGGAGTCTGTCATGTTGGAATGTGGTTGGAGACCTAATGGATAAGACTGTGAAAATAATTTGGTTTCTGAAACTCTAAATATGAATTTGTGGCTTCAGTTTCTTGTGATAGAGAAGTAATTTTGTATGTTAATAACTAATATGCCTTGTTTTTGTTTCCTGTCATTGTTAAAACATCAGACTTGGATCTAAAATGCTTAACAGTAATTGCACGTAATATGGTATGATCAAATTATCTCACTCCAAATACTTCTTGTCTAGGCCAATCAAACTGGTTGTGAAAATTGGCATAGGACCCTGGAAATGTATTTTAGACATGACGTTCGGAAGCGAAGTGCATGTTTCCAGTTCATAATTGTTGATGAGCAAAGCCCAAGAAGTCCGTGCATCAATTTCAGCTCATACCACACTTCAAAACAATAGGAAGTTACAGATATTTTGCATGTAATATTGCAAGTTCATGTTAGTAGTAACTTCTTTTATGCTTTTACTTCAAGCATTTTATTTATTGCACAGGGACAGAGCATCATTCCAATGCTGACAGGAGAAGTCATTCCTGTAATGGAACTCCTTTCATCTATGAAATCACACAGTGTTCCAGAAGAAATAGATGTAAGTCCTTGTGATCTTTGTATTCTGAATAAAAAAGTGGCTTCGGCACTCTGGTTTGCTACTCTCTTTGGCAGGCAAAACCCCACAGTTGTCATAAATTTTTGCACATTTCAGTTGTTTCACATCAAGTTCTTCTGAGTGGTGTAGGGATTTTTATGGTTTAACATAACTGTTTTAGTTCAGTAAATATAACAGTACTAGCAGTATTATTTATGGTCAGCACTTAGCTAAATTGACTACGTGGGATGATACCTTTTTTAAGAGTGGAGTGGAAAGTCTTTTTGAAAATGAATGGGGAGGTAAATGGTTTTAATGTTGATACCTGTTTCAGTGTGGTTTTCTGTTCTCATGGAAGAAGTAGAAGTGATCTCACATGCACTACTTCAAAATATTCTGGGTATAGGAAAAAAACACTGGGAGGAATCTGACTTGTGACTGGTGAAGAACATTGAATAATCAAGTGGCACTCTCAGTTCTAAAATGCTTTGGCTGAAGTCAGGTGGTCTTTTTCAGGTTGTACGTTTTTTGGGTGGTCTTAAAACTTAGCTTAAATCGTTCCCAAATGGTTCCCACCTATCATTAAAACAAAGATCAATTAAATGGAAGATCCTTGTCTAACCTTTGTTTATATTTACTTGCATTTCAGATAAGTGACACAGTGCTAAATGATGATGACATTGGGGATAGCTGCCATGAAGGCTTTCTCCTCAAGTATGAATTTCATTTTTGATTTATGCTGTAGTAAAACAGTTTGAACTTGTGTGTGCATATATATATATATGTATGCGCATGTGAACATGTATTAGATTAGTTTTCTTTATAGGAGGGGGGAGGATGACATGTATTTGGCTTTTGAGATGTTTGTCTATAAAATGCTGTAGAAGTTGCTGTCTTTTTAGAAGAAAGGCTCTGAGCTAATAGCTGTATCTCTGTGTTATCACAGAATCATTTGTTTGACAATAAAATTACTATCAAATATATTTTTTCTTTCATACTTATGTTTAATTTAATGAGGATATAAGTCCTACATTTTTATACCAAAAATCCTGTGTTGTGTTTACTGCATGAACTATGAACAAGAGTCATTAATGGTATGGCATTTGGAACGCTTATTATTAAACTGTGTATTTCTCTTTTTTCCCTGCTGTTTTTAATGTGTAAGTGGAAGTAGTTGCACTTGAGAGCAACTTGGTCTCTTCCTGTGGGAAAGCATATTTCATAGATTTTAACTGATGTTCTGTTACCTTTCAGAACATCTCTGGTGTAACTGCATTCATTTATATAGTGCTTAGTGCCAACTATTTATACACTGTCAGTACTACAGAAATTCATGTGTTAAATTAGCTAATTCATCACAATAATGTAGTATTTAGTTCCATAGAGAATTTGGGAAATAATGAAGTGAATATTATGGAATGGATTATTTTAAACAGCCAGAGCCGTTGATCCTACAATGATGAGCTATTGTCATACCAGATGGAGATTTATTGGGCAGATAGTAGACTGTAGGGTGTCAGTAATCTGTTCTTTCTCCCTCGAAATTTTGTCCTGAAAAGAAAATAACAACTTGGCCATTCGTGTGAGGGGTCCAAGTGTCTGCTTTTCAGCTTATCTGCAAAGCTTATCAGCTCATCTAGGTTAAGATTTCAAGTCTTAAATATAGTTTTGTATGGATTTATACATGTCATTGAATAAAAATTGGATTAAACTAAATAAACTGCTGTATCAACAATACCAACCTTCAAAACAAGCAGTCATGCTTTCTTAGTAACTTCTAAATCATAGAATCATAGAATCATTTAGGTTGGAAAAGACCTTTAACATCATCCAGTCCAACCATTAACCTACACTACCAAGTCCACACTAAACCAATCAAGGGTAGACTAGACTAAACCATGTCCCAAAGTGCCACATCTACCTGTTTTTTGAACACTTCCAGGGATGGTGACTCCACCAGCTCTCTGGGCAGCCTGTTCCAATGCTTGCCTACCCTTTCCTTGAAGAAATTTGTCCTAATACCCAACCTAAACCTCTCCTGGCTAAAACTGAACATCTGTTTCTGCCCCAAAGGAAGAATTCATAACTATTCAGATGGTCTTAAATTTAACTTTTAGAATATACTTGATAAGATAAACAGTAACAAGTCCACTATAAAGTCCATCTGTAGGATTTCAGAGTGTAGTTATTATAGCCCTTATCAATTAGAGGTGTTTGTTAGCACTGGTGAATCACATACAATGCATCCTTCAGTAAGATAGCATAAATGCACTTTTGTATATTCATAGATATTGGAGAAAAATTTTAATAGTATCTAGACTTTCTAGGATATCTAGACTTTTTGACGCTGTAGGCCAGATGCTGGTTTGAGAAAGTGCAGGGGGAAAGGGAGGATGAGGATAAGAAACCTCAACAGAATTTTCTTAAGGACAAGTTAAGAGTTGTCAAGGTTAGTCCAGGTATATTTACTGCAGCCTCCAAACTTAAGATAAACTAAGTCAGATCTGTGCTGCTGGCAACTCACAAGACAAGATCACTCAACTCAACTTCCAGCATGCTTGTGTGTATTCTGAAGGACTCAAGCTTGTGACATGCTCTTGCCCATGTAGTTACCAAAAGTAGAACAGTTTACCTGCCAAGTCTCCCAAAACTGGCTTCTGATCCACAGTTTCAGAAAATGAGGACAACCATGGAATACATCTTCTCTGAAGAGGCTTTCAAATCCTTCATTATTAATATGTCTTCTACTACTTTAGATGAATTATTTTATACAGATTCTGTAATACAGTTAGATAGTAGCAGTAGACACTTTTTGTTTGCTCTGTAACTGGTGTTTGGGGGTTCTGAGTGAGTCATTTTATTTATCAAAATGAAAATGTAGATGCTATTGAACTTCTGGATTTGAGCAGTAACCTACACAGCTGTGTGAAGTCCTATGGGTATGGGCCTATAGGTGCGGGCCTATATTTATACTAGGAGCACTTCATTCTTCTTGTGAAGATGATAATTGTTTTATTTGAAAAGTCTGGTTAAATGTATTTACCTATGTTTGTTTTTATTTGCAGTGCAATTAGTTCACACCTGCAGACCTGTGGTTGTTCTGTAGTTGTAGGAAGCAGCGCAGAAAAAGTTAATAAGGTAATGCAGTTGCTAATAAACAAAACTTAAATGCTGATGATTAGGAGTGTTACAGTGTTATTTGGAAGAATGTTTATCTATAAACATACTTGAGGTTGAATAAGGAAGGAATAATGTTGTCTGGTTATCTTACTTCAGCTGATTGGTCTAGCAGTTGATAATTCTGCCTGAAAATTGCCTTATCAGTTGTATTCTGGCAACTATAAGAAAACTGATGTATTCAATTTAATTGATACTGTATATAACTAGTAATAAATGAGTCTGAGCTTTTAAAATTAGGTTTGTTAGCTAAAATGTAGACATTGAAGAGGTCTGAACTGGCTTGCCCAGTTCAGCTATGTCAATGGGTATTGTCTGTCTACTCTTAAGAAATTAGTATCTGCATAATTTCTCTTACACTGGGGAATAAATGTACTTCTACATCATGAACTGCTTGTGTTTCACGGAACCCTAAAGCTGTTGAGTTTGTAGTCACATACCCATGTTGAAACAGGCAAGCTTCTTAGGACCTTAAACCGTTCCAGCAATTCCAGCATTTTTTTCTTTGTACCTGTGTTTGTGTTGACTTCATCTTCAGTCTGTTTAAAACTTAATTGGTAAGTAAGTGTACAGTTTAACTGGTAGATCTTAAATTAGGTTTGACTCAGCTTTCCAGAAGAACCAGAAAGAGGCAAAGTACAGATATGAACCCCTAAAACTGAGTCCTGTAACAACAAAACACTCAGTATGTCATAGTTGCTGGAGCACATCAGTAGGGATGATGATTAGGAGCGTTCAGGCCTAGAAACAATAAGCAGCATTAGCTGTCCCTCTTAATGGGGAAGAGTATATACATTGTTAAGGTCTATTTGGGAGGAAAAAAGGTCACTCTTGGAAGCTGTCATTTCAGAACAAGAAAATAATTACATTTTTGTGGTAGACATTTTTTTCCCATGCTGTTACTATTTTTAACTCTCTTGTAAGCTTGTTATGAAATATTTAATTTGAACCAATATGAAACTATTACCTGCACTGCTTTTCGTCTAGTATTTTGGTGTAAATGGAGAGTTTCTTTAAGCATACTTAAAATAAGTATGCTTATTTTAAGCTTACCTAGTATATGAAGGAAAAATCAAATGAGGATATTTTCCTTATTCTCCAAGTGCTTTTTTTGTATACAGCTTTTTGATTATACCAAAATGCTAGTTTCAGATAAATTGAAAGCAATTCCTGGAAGAGATACACTTGTGTTTACTGTCCATTGAAATATTTCTTAAAGCATATTTCTTTTTAGCATAGTGCAATGTAGCAGTGTTTTTTTCAGAGGGATTTCCTTTTGACTTGAATCTAATGAGGGTGTTACTCCATCCCTTCTAATAAAAACACTGAAGTTAATTTTTAGTTAGGTTATTCTGAGATAAATCATGAAGAAAATGTTGATGTATTTCATTGTCAGTTGCCTCCCTACATTCACAGCCGAGTCCTTTAATAAACCTCTTTGATTCAGAATATCCCTGCAGCTGGGAATGAAAAGAAGCGTTTCATAAAAGTGTGCAATCCTAGAGCCTTCAGGTGTTAGGTGCCACTGCACTTAATGAGTATACCAGTACTGCTGTGAGGGTATGGTTCTGTGTAGTTACGTAGCGTTATAAGTTTTCAATTTACACTGGGACCTCTGGCAATAACAGTAGTCCCATGTCCTGAGACCATGACAAAGGTCCTACAGTGCTACGTATGGAGAAGCAGTATATTCAGGTAAATTCATTTTTTGGTAGGGAATGTTTCTGTATATTGGGCTTTTCTGTCTGCTTATGTTTTTAATTATGATGTACTAATTTTTGAGCTCTGGTTTATTTTGTAAGACTGAAACCTTCCTTCAAGGAAAAACTCATTTTAATTCTTGAAGTTGATGCCCTTTGTGATATATGTATGTATGTATCTGTGTGTATTGCTTCAATGTGAAATACAAACTAAGAGCAGACTATACATATTACATATTTTGTATTTTATAGTATTTAGGGCTCCTTTTTGCAGTGAAATATAATAGTCTTTTTAAAAAATTCAAGGCACCTTTAGTAAACCTGTGTTTTGAAATAAGCAGTTTGTGATGCTTCATAAAAACTGGGGGGGGTGGGCGGGAATGCATTGTTTTGTGTGTATTGGCAGTGATGGTAAAGCACCTCTGATCATATGAACAGTAAATGCTGATACTCAAAAATAATCACGAGCAATAGGGGAACCAAAGAAAACAAAATTCTCAGTTCTTAGGTGAAATCAGCTAACCACAGTTAATATGTATTGTTTCAGGGATGTAAGATTTGGACATGATTAAGTTAGCATAATAGAGCAAATGTTAAAGGCTTAAGTGGTTATATAAAGTTAAAGTTTATAGTTCGTAAAATAATTAATTAAAAGACTTTAAGGTCTAAATGGTTATGAGTATGTAAAATAAGGTATTGATAAGCTAGACACTACTGGAAAAAAAACATTCTAGAAGAATGTGAGTCTCAAGATACATTCAGGGTAAATTTCATAAATTCTACACAGGTTCTTACCAGCAGCGTGCTCTTTGTGTCACAGTGCAACTGTTCTAAGTAATTGCTTTCTTTATGGAATACTTTAGCTTTCTTTAAAATAAAAAAACTACCTATTGCATCTCGCTGAAGTGGTGAAAAGCATTAGTCAGAAACTAGGTTGTCATTGTTTGAGGTACTGCATGAACACATTGTGCAAGGATAGAGGCTTCTCAAACATCTTACAGACACAGATAGGACACCACAGGTTAAGACTGAAAGATTAGCAGAATGGAATACATGTTTGCATTTGGAGATGGTTACTTGTAGCTGTTGCAGCACAGGAGTTTGAAAACAAATAATGAAGTACCTGTGTTGCTTTTAATGGAGAGTTTGAGGAAATTACTGAGGAAATAAGCATAGATGGTTATTTAGGAAATTGACTATGCCTGATTGGAGACCATAGCTGCTGTTTCAATATGGAATGAATAAAATAAGAGGCCCAAAAGGCTAGGAAAATAATCACAGTAACTCATGTTTATGTAATAGGAAGAGGTAGCAGAATGCAAAAGTGATGTGTTCTACATAGTTGGCTAAAAAAAAAACTTTGCCAAAAAGTGTTGGATTTTTTCTTCATTTGACAAGAAGTTGGAGTAATATGGCTTAACAGCATAATAATTTAAGCATGTCACTATTCTGTGACCTTGGTAAAGTTCTGGCTTTTCTAATAAGCATGATGAACTTTTTTGTTCATCATTTGAAATGCCTAATACATTCTAGTCAGAAATTGCATTTGAAGATCAGTTCATTCCTTCCATGTTCGTGTTTTTCAAAACTGTTCTTTTCAACGCAGATTGTGAGAACATTGTGTCTGTTTCTTACACCGTCAGAGCGGAAGTGTTCCAGACTCTGTAGAAATGAGTCGTCTTTCAAATACGAGTCAGGACTTTTTGTTCAAGGCTTACTCAAAGTAAGTACGCATAGGAAAGTTCTATTCTTCTGTAGTTGAAGAACATTCTTCAATGTATATGTATGTGTGTGCATATGATACACACACACATACACCCATTCATGTTCAAAGAAATACATCATCTTCCCTTGATTCCTTTCTGGCACTATAGCTTTCCTTGTAACTGTTTGCATTAAAAGTTCCAAGCCAGTCTTTTCTCTGACACATCTATTTCTTGAGTATTGTCCAGAATTGTTCCTATACTTTGAGGTCAATAATACTACTCTTTTGCTTACTTGGGGCTAGAATCCCACAAGGCATTACATTTTTCTATTGTACCAAAACCAAAAAAGAACAGTCTATCAGTCCGACAGTTTCCAAGTATTTTAAAAGGGCTGTGGCAATGGGTGAAGATGAATAGAAAAATAATGCTTCTTGCTATAGCGAGCAGTCTAAACTTACCAGATAAATGTAATACTGTAATATTAATGGGCTCACAAACCAGCTGATGCAATACTGTAATACACAGGTTACCTCAGTACCTTTTTTCACTGTTGTATTAAGGGAATCATCCAGTATGAAGGAGTTTTTACTGGGCTACAACCACCAGTTCTCTCAAACAAAACATGTCTAAACAAATGGGATTTAAAATTTAGGCATGATGCGTTAATATTGTTTTGTTCCAATATAGCTTTGTTTTTTTAAAAAAAGTAACTAGAAGAATAATTTTTTTCACTAAAACAGGATGCAACAGGAAGCTTTGTGTTGCCCTTCCGTCAAGTAATGTATGCCCCATATCCTACTACACATATAGATGTAGATGTCAATACCGTAAAGCAGATGCCCCCCTGTCATGAACACATCTATAACCAACGACGATATATGAGATCCGAGCTGACAGCATTTTGGAGAGCTAATTCAGATGAAGAAATGTCTCAAGATCATATTATCCACACAGATGAGAGTTTCACACCTGATTTGTATGTACTCCTCACATCTCTCAAAGTTACTTGATTTGGGACAAGAGAGTAAAGTAGTACGAAGTGTACCTTCTAATAAAGTACATGAGGGTTTTTTGCTTTTAAGAAGCTCCTTCAGCTCTGGTAGTTGCATTCATTTTGGAGCAATTTACCAGTTCTGTCAGTAGTTTTGTTGCATTAAATATTACTGAAATTAATTTTCAGTGATACTTACGACCATGTTATGTTAATTTTGTTGTCTGTTTTAAATAGGGGTATAACAAAGCTAAGTGTATTTGACAGGGCCCAATGGCTTTTCTGGGTTTAGTTCATTTCATCTGAAAGTTTTGCATTAAAATTCTGTGTTAGCTTTAAAAATAGTAGGATTATTAATTCACTAAAATTTTGAATTCACTTTTAATTTCTGCCTGATTGTAAACAGTAATGCTATTGTTGTGTACAACTGCTGGACAGTTAGTGCCCCTTCATGGCATTATCTCACATGTTTGTTTGCTTTCTTTTCTATAGAAATGTCTTTCAAGATATCCTGCATCGAGATACATTAGTAAAAGCCTTCCTGGATCAGGTAATCATGCTTTTTCAGAAAGAACAAGAGATAAATTTCAGTATTTTGAGCTCTAATAACAGATAATTTAACATGAATAGATAATTTGTTGGCTTGGTAGCTCCTTTTCATACTAGTGCTATGATTCTTCCCTGCACAACTAGAGAAAAATACTTGTGTAATTTGTAGTATTAGTATAATATTGAAAATCCTCCTTCTCTTTGAAAAACAATGCATATTTTCTATTGCTGTGCAACGGTGTCTACAGTTACACTATCGAGCAAGCTACCTGACTGGGCTTAATTTCAGATCATTTTAAAATTTTCAGATCATTTAGCCTAGAGAAGAGGAGGCTGAGGGGAGACCTTATCGCTCTCTACAACTACCTGAAAGGAGGTTGTAGTGAGGTGGGTGTTGGTCTCTTCTCCCACGTAGTTAGCGATAGGACGAGAGGAAATGGGCTCAAGCTGCGCCAGGGGAGGTTTAGGTTGGATATTAAGAAAAAATTCTTCACAGAAAGGGTAGTCAAGCATTGGACCAGGCTGCCCAGAGAGCTGGTGGAGTCACCATCCCTGGAAGTGTTCAAAAAACAGGTAGATGTGGCGCTTCGGGACATGGTTTAGTCTAGTCTACCCTTGATTGGTTTAATGTGGACTTGGTAGTGTAGGTTAATGGTTGGACTGGATGATCTTAAAGGTCTTTTCCAACCTAAACGATTCTAGGATTCTATGATTCTAAAAAGGAAAATAATACTTTATCCAAACTGTAAAAGAGCTTAATTTATTGCATCTGAGCAGCTAGAAAACAGAAAGAATGTTGAACTTATCTACAAATCTGCTGTTAATGTGCCTGCTTTGCTATAATTAAGGGTATATTACGTGTGAATGCAATGTTTCTTTATATTCCACATTATTAAAATGATAATTGAATTTCCATGTCTACCTAATTTTCTGGTATAATTTTTAACAGATCTTTCATCTGAAGCCTGGCTTGTCTCTAAGGAGTACTTTCCTTGCACAATTTCTGCTAGTCCTTCACAGAAAAGCCTTAACTTTAATAAAATACATAGAGGATGACACGTAAGTGAACAGATGATAGAAAGCAGGCTTTGAGAAACTTCCTTTGTTCTTTACAACACCCTTTTTTATTTTCTTGCAGGCAAAAAGGAAAAAAACCTTTTAAGTCTCTTCGTAGCTTAAAGATAGATCTTGATTTAACAGCAGAGGGCGACCTTAACATAATAATGGCTTTGGCTGAGAAGCTTAAACCAGGTCTACATTCCTTCATCTTTGGGAGGCCGTTCTACACTAGCGTACAAGAACGTGATATGCTCATGACGTTTTAAAGTTCCCCACTGCTAACATATAATATTGCAGTCTTGCATGGCGTGAAAAGAAATCTGTCAGTGTGACCACCACACTTGTGACAATCGTTGACCATCAATCATGAGGATGGAGCATTAGAAGCACAGTAACACTACAGTCTGTCCAAAACAGGAGGAGGTCTTGTTAGGGGGAATATCAACTCAGCTAGACAAGCATGATTTTAGTGAATCCATCTCTTCTGTGTGCTTTTTCTAATAGTAAAAGTAAATGTTACCAGAGGTTCCTTTGCCATATGGGCTTAGTAGATAAATTTGAACATGTTTTAGTGTATGATGAAGGGAAGCATTTTAATTCTCTTCCCCCAGAGACTTCTTTCAGGTGTGTGCCAGTTTTCCCCTGTTCTGCTGTGTCAATATATTTAGTGTTCCCACAGAAAACAATACATACGTCCTCTCTAATCATGGAAGTTGCAGAATAAGGGCCTCCCAAGAGTTTCAAAGAGTTTTTAAAAGTGTTTTTTCTTGCATATGTGGTACAAATCTGAAATTTGTCTTCCCTCATCTCCCTTTTTAACAGTACTGGCTCCTTCATTTAGAGCATTTAAAGGTGTTTGGGTTTTTTAATATACTACGAAGCGCTATTCTTGTGTGCAAACTGTTGGCTATTAGCAGCTTAAGTAGCAGCACTCTGCATGTGGGAAATGGGTCATTATTTAAGGCAGCTTTGTGCATGTAAGTGCCAACCAGGATACTCTGTCACAGATTGCTGGGCCATCCTGTAGTGAAGTGTTCAGTGATCCTGCATAAATGAGCTCTTTCAAAACACAAAGCAGAAAACTTCTGTCATTCAGCAGCAGTTGTCAGTCTTTCTGTCTGTAAACTGATGCTAGTTTTTCCACTGTCAGTTAGAATAAGGTTCATATTAAAGTATTAGACCTTTCCAAAGAACACCAAGGTGATAACCAAACTAAAAGATAAACCAGTAATTTTTTTTTACATTTATATTAATATATTTAGTGATCCTTAATTCAGAGATGAGCACAGCTATGAACTAATGTGATTAGCATTTTCCTAAGTGAATTCTAGTCAATAATCTTGCCAATCTTCTTAGTTCATCTTAGCACATCTCAACTTTGCTTTGCTTGAAAATAAAAACACATTATCTATTTGTGTGCCTCAACCTTTCTTTCTCAGTGGCATGTAGAGTCATGCAGTGTCAGGTTAATCCAGACCCATTTTTTTGAGTTTTGACACATGGTCGGTATGTGTTACATTGAAATCAGTGGTACATCTGTACTGCATGTTGTTGTGTTTCTTCTCTTTTTGATCAAACACAGGAATGTATTTCTGTCATGTTTTGGTGTAGCCTCATAACTCAATATTCACTGTGAAAGAGCTGCACTTGTGGTTGGAGAAACCACTACTGCTTAAATTGTTTATAACACTCCTGGCAAACAGGTTTCTGTTTTCAAGATAGCTTTTTACTGTCTGTCTCATGCAGCGAGGCATAAAGTTAGATTCACAACTTTTCCTGAAATGTCCAATACTCAGATTTTAAAAGGAATACTGTCCTTTATTTAGATGTCCAGAATTCCCATATATTTCCTGAAATACAAAGATTCACAATTAAATATTTAGAGCTTCTGAAAGACATGGAATTGAGCTGCCAGCTGCACACCATTTTCATGAATGAACATCATCATTACCTAGTTGAATAAGTAATTACATTTTGTGGAGCTGTTTTTTGATATACATATATGTAGGACTCCTACAATGAGCTCAGCCCTTCATCCAAAGAACTTGTCAGAATTGTGCTGACATAAGTTACTTGTGCTGAGATTCTGTTTGTCTTCCTAGCATTATTATTTCCTTCTGTGTTTTTAATCAGTTGATCCATTAGAAAAGAGCCTGATTGTGCTAAGTTTTTACTCTCTTGTCTAAGATTGTGAAAAAATTGTAATAAACACTGCTGAAACTTCTAGTGTAGAAGTTGTGTTGAAGTCTAAAGAGCTTTAAATGTGCTGCTGAAATTAATCACTTCAGCTTGATAGGCATTGGAAACTTAACATTGACACTAGTAACTAGTAAAGCTCTGTTCGTTTACTGAAGATGCTGTCACTTTTTGAAATTACTAAAAGCTGGAAACTTTCTCAGTTGCTACTTTTGTTGCACAGCTGTCACAAGTGCACAATGTATAGTGAAGTAAATTATTAAATGTGTCTGCATGTTGTGTGGTAAATCTTGCTCAGGAAACAAAATATTCTAATAAAATTCATGCAAAATTTTTTACTTTAATTGCTGCTGATTTTTTTCATATAATTTGTGTTCTGTATCTGGTAGAATCATTATCTTTCATCCTTTGAAATAAGGAAGAAACCTTTTTCCTTGTTAAATTAAAAATTATGCTGAGATGGTGAATCATAGACTGTCATTGATAGAAAGTCATGTGTTACTTAGTTCCTCCATTTCTGTTAAGAACTTAATCATTTCAAGCTGAGACCAGTGTGATTTGCTATGCCTCTGATGTGCTCAAATAAGAATTTAGCCTGTACTTTTAAAAAGTTTTAATCCCATATGTGAGAATTTAGAAATCTTTTAAGGAGTTCACTTACATCTAGCAGTCAGTGAATACCTTTCTTCAGGATTTTAGTTCCTTACAGTTAAAAGAATAAGGCAAGTTTATTTCTTCCAGTTGGATTTGAAAGGGGAGTGGTGTTTCAGAGCATTTTTAGTAGCACATTTTCCCTGAGCTTGATTCCTGGTCTTTGCATACCTATAAAGGTAGCACAGAAAGACGTCCACTGGAATGTCTTATTTGTTAGGACTGCAGAGGATATTCCCAGTCTATATATCAGTATGTCATAATGTCAGTTTTATTCCAGAACAAAATGTGTGTTTTGGTAACGTTCGTATCCCTGAGCCACCAGTATGACACACCAATACAGAGTGCCAGGACTTCTGCACTCCATTCTCTACTGGAAAAAGGTGTTAGAAAGATTTCTCTTTCTGTTCTCAGATCTGTGAAGACAAAGAAAAGTGGTCCAAAATATGAGGGCTATCTCATACAGGCACGTCACTCACCTCTATTGTCTAATCAGAGCCTACAAAGAATGTACTTTGTCCTCTCATCAACAGCAAAGAGGCATAAACCATATGCATTAGTATGCAGAGTAGATTTTTGCACATGAATAGAGCATGGTTGTGTCCCTTACCTCTGTCCTGGCATAGAGCTACACCCTAACTGTGACACCTGGTTGGGCAGAACACCAAGGAAACTCCATGGCAGGATGACCTTGTGTGCAAGCTTGTTCATGTGGTACTTCGGTTAAAGGAAGTAATTATCTCACTTCTCAAAGCCATGCTGTTCATATGCATGTCCAGAGGTTTCAAATACAGAAGACTTCAGTAAAAGTTCAAAAGTATGAAAAAAGGACACAATCCTGGCAATGACCATTGAGTAAGTCTGACTTCAGTTCTAACTAAAAGCATAGAGCTACCCTGCAAGAGCTGTTAACCTTCGACTAGCATAGGGCAGCTTTTCAAAGCAAAAAGATCAGTGGAAAGAGAAATTTCTGCTTAAACCAGCATGGAATGGCAACTGGAAATTGTTCCCTTCTTTTAGATGTTCCTATCTTTATTGTCATGTAGATGGAGGGAGGTCCCTGACAACTGGAAGAGGACCAAAAGACAATCTGGGGAACTGCAGGTTGACCAGTTTCACTCAGGTGCCTGCGAAAACGATGGCATGTGTCCTCTTGGAGCATGTCTTGCCACCTGAGGGAGAAGGTGATGGGGAACTGTCAGCACGGCTTGACCAACAGTGAATAACGCTTCACCCACCTCATTGCTTTCTGTGATATAATGACTGGATTTGCAGACAAGTGGAGAACAGGAGATATCATTTACATGGACTTCATCAAGGCTTCCAGCACTCTCCTACCATGTCTTTGTAGTCAAGTTGGATGGTAGGCTCTGGATGGGTGCCCCACCTGTGAGGTAAATACCTGGCTGGGCAGTCAGCCTCAGAGGTGGTGCTCACGGGGTTGCATCTGCCTGGAGACCAGTGCCCCATAGGGTCCTGCAAGGTCTGCCCTGGGGCCTGTCCTGCTTAACATCTCTATCTGTGACCTGGGAAGGTGACCAAGTGTACCCTGTCTAGTTTGCAGGTGACACCAAATTGGGGGGCACTAGTCTATATGCATGAGGGCAGGGCAGCCGTCCGCAGGGACCTGGACCAGTGGGAGGAAAGGACCAGGCCCCCATGCACTGGGGGCAGGAGCAAAGGGAAGCCCTGCTCTGGGCAGGCAGAGCCCTGGCAGCCATGCCAGTAAGACCAGGGGCGGCCAGTGAGAGAGACCAGGGGCAGCTCTGGGCAGAAGGCCCTGGCGAGCAGTGAGCTGGCAGGGCCAGAGAGGCTGGAGGGAGGGGAAAGTTTTTTTCCCCATGAGAAGAGCTGGGCAGGGCCGGGGCCCAGGGAGGTGGTGCCGTCTGCCTCCTCGGAGGGTTTCCAGCCCCCGCAGGAAGCCCTGAGCAACCTGGTCTGACCCCATGGCTGAGCCTGCTCTGGGCAGCGGTCAGACTGGAGCCCTACCAAGGGGACCTTGCCATCCCGAAATGTCCTGTGGTGCTACGGTCTGGCGGGCAGCCTGCAGCTGCTGTTGCTTAGATCCGGAGAACAGCTGAGGTGGGCAGTGACCTCTGGAGGGTAGTGGGTCCAGCCCCCTGCTCGGACATGGCCAACTTCCGTCGACGTTGCTCATGGCATCGTCTGGTCAGTTCTGAGTATCTCCAATGGCAGATAAAAGCAGGGGCTGAACAAACTCCACTGTGAAAGCACAGGTGTGCAAAAACTTAAATACGGCCCTGGATTCACCAGTGAAACTCTGGGTGCACGAATATATGAATCCCCAAGAGAGAAGTTTAGGTATGAGGAGTATGGTATCTACAGGGTCTAGCACGCATGTTAAAATTAATGGCAGCATATCCTTTACTTGAAACATGAGGGCTAATCAGGACTTTTT